TTTTAACGCTGTGATGTAAATGCAATGCGTGTGTGTGTGTGTGCGCGTGTGTCAGTGGAGCTGGTAGTCCTCAAATCATTGTTGTGCACACATCTGTAGCATCACACACACACACACACACACACACACACACGCACACGCACTGAATGACCTATTTTAGAGTCGGACAGAGGCTGCAGGGACTGAATGGGTCATGGCAGGCAACATAACTCTCTCCTGAACCGCAGCCAACCAAGCATGTTCAACAGAGGAGTCGATTTTCCTCCGTCCTTTTGTTTTCTCTCTTAGGATTTCTTGTTTCTCATGTTGCAAATTAAACACACAGCTTTCGTCATACTCTTTGGTTTGCTTTCACTCGAAATTGTGAATTTATCTCAATCAGAAACAGACTCGGCAGGCAGTAGGTGACCCACAGCCCCAGATATTTATTCAGATCATTACCGTCGTCATCACAGGAAATAATTTATGACAACTGAACTTCAAAGGATGCATAGAAAATGCATTAATAGCTTTAATGATACTCACAGAGGGAACTTTAGACTCTGTTAGTCGCCATGTCCAGTCATGCTGAAAAGTGTTTAATAATTGATTAACTGCATTCCAGAGTTCTTTACCAGCTCTCCTTCTGTGTTTAATACTAAGACCATATCTGATTATTTTCTTCTTTGAGGTTTATTTTCTGACCTTTTTAGCCTTTTTTTTTGATTGGACAGTAGGAGGAGAGAGCAGTGGAATGACATGCACCTCATGGTTTCACAGATCTGCTGCTGAAAACACATGTGCCTATATGGTTTCCACCCAAACCACCCTGCCATTGGGTGTCCCGGTTTTGATTACTGTGTTTGACTTTTTTTTTCTCCACAGAAACACAACACAATAAGTCCTAACTCATCTGACACTGTAGTAAAAAAAAAAAAAAAAGTAAAAGAAAAAAAGGTGAAAATCTGGAAGCAAGGGTGCCGGAAAAAAAGGAAAAAAGAAAACATTAAAAAAAAAACAACTGTAGAAACAGTCAAAATATAGGCAATTTATTTGACCTGTTTTTTTCCCTTAATAGTCAACATGTAAATTAACATCTTTTTCTGTGATTTTTAGAATTATTATGTGTGATTTAACAAAACAGGCAAAATCTATAAAATAACATGTTTTTAATTGTTAATATATATAATTATTCTATGAAATAACTGCAAATATCTGGAAAATAACAATATATTTTGCTGATTTAAATGTAGGACAACAAAAGACATCTTTACCAACTAAACTAATTACCATTTTAAAATTACTGATTTTTAAAGGGGACGTTATCTGCAATTTAACAAAACGGGGAAAATCTGAAAAGTGACCAGTTGTCAGTCCTTAGTATACACATTTTTTTTCTTTGAATGGCAGATAACTGTAAAATATTGATATTGTAGCTGTTTTAAATGCAGAAAAAGTAAGATACATTTTATAGTCAAATGTTATACAATAACAAATTACAATTTATTACAATACAAAATTTTTGATGTGGACATTTTTTTACGTTTTTGACTTTTTTTTTTAGTCAACATGTAAATTAATACTTATCTGTAATTTAACATCTGTATAGTTATCTGTAATTTAACAAAATAAGGGAAATATGTAAATAATGTGTTCATAAAACTCCATTTAAAACCTGTCAAAACAAACACTGCAAAGTACTCTACAGTAGTTTTACAGTGCAATCTAACCCTGACTTTATTTGGGCTTTCAGTGCATGTTTTGTTTGATAAGATCAGCAGCTGTCAAATTATTTTAACACAAAATCCGAAGAGGGAGCACCTTGTGATCCAACGTTTATGAGTACTGGAATGCAAAAAGCAAACATTCTCTATACAACAACCGAGTTAATGTTTAAATGTCCGTTTGGCTTTGTTGCACAACGACTTTCTGCAGCATCCGGCTTCTGATCATTTCCTCCTCTCAGTAGGAGAATTTCAGCTCATTAGGCAGGGATTTCTGATGGTATTTGACATCTGCTCACCATGATTTGCACTTGCACATCCTCCGTGCATGGACTGAGAGGAATCTGATGCATACCGAGACACACTCTGCAGCTTCATGCTCCTAACCTCATCCCTGCCTCTCCCTGCGCTGCTGACCTACATACTGCAGCATCCCAGTTACATAACCATCCAGGGCTGTTGATCACTGCAGGCAGCGCAGGGCCAACACCCCCCTTCGCTCTGCTTCTTTCACGCACACATTCATTCCTCGCTTTGACCTACCAACTTTCTTTAGCTCATTCGTTTTCTTACATATCTGCCGATTTGATTTGTCATACCTGTGCTACTGCTGTGCGCACCTGAGGGACAGCTGGATTTGTTTGTGGTGTGGGTGGGAGAAAATTCCAAATTAGGTCAATCCAAATCATTCAGTTTGGTATTCATGAGTCACTGTCAGGTGATCTGGGTTTCTACCTGCTTGAATGACATTCATCAAGGTGGAAATTTACGATTTTTCTCAATTTTCACCCAAGTCAGTGTTATGTAATAAGCTAAAATCACACGAATGGGCTTCGGGATTTGACAAAGGGTCGACAAATCTACACAAGAGCTTCCTGATGTTGTAATGATCATAATAATATTAATGATCTACAGTTGTGTGAAAATGTCACGGAGCTTTCCAATACATAATCCTGTTAACTTTGAGGAATGGAACAGCCAGCGTGTGTAATTTTTTTTTTCTTTTTTGATGCAACGACAAACCGATACTTGTAATGCATGCGCTACTGACCTGTTCCCTCAGGCAGCAACAAGAGAGCTTCTTTCTGAGTAGTTTGCTCAAGTTTACACTGTAGAGCGCTGTGACGCAACCTCTCCTCCCCTCCTTTCCTCCCTCTCTCTCTCCCCTCTGAATAACCCCTCTCTCGCTCTCTCTCCTCCAGCTTCTCCTCACCGTCCTCGCTGACCTACTTTTTACTCTCCTGGCCCGTTTTCACAAGCCTCCGCACAATACAAGGCAGCTTTTTTACAGCTCAAAGACGGGCTGAAAAGAAAAAAAAAAAAAGAAGAAGAGAGGGGGAAATGAGAGAGAGATAGAGATAGCGAGGAGGAGGAGTAGGAGAGAAAATGAGGGAAGAATAATGCACTACAAAGCACTGCGGTTTTCTCAGGAATGTCACCTTGTTGTAGCTGGCTGGTGGGTGGTACGGAGAACAGAAGTGAATTGCAGTTTCATATTACAGATGTAAAATAGCCAATCTATCTATCTGTGGTCAGCAGCTTCTAAACATCCCTCCTGTGTTTTAAGGACAAGAACGGCTGCGGATGCATTTATGTGCGTCACAAAAATTGCACAATGTGAAGTAATAAACGATGAAGGATCAAAACACGAGTTCACATGAGGAGCCAGAGTAGGAGGGCCTGTTCTGGACGGACCTGCTGTCCTGGAGTAATAAAGAAACTTGGGTGTTTCCTTGAAATTGCAACACCTCTGCATCTGATAGGCTCTCCTTCCTGTAATGGGTTCTTATGTAACCTTCGTCAGCGGCCTCCTGCCAACCTGCTGTTCCCATCAGCCATATTGTTCCAGGGTCGGACAGAGGGGCTGCTATGTTCGGCACTCGCAGTCTTCTCCCAAGACACTTGTGTAACTTGTTTTTTTTTGCTTGTTGTACTCTGATACACTGAGTGTTCCTTCTCTCTCTCTTCTTCCAAATAAAACACAATATCGGTTGGTGGCATTGAGCAACTCTGGACTCCGCCAGAAAAAGAAAGTAAACACTGCTTGGTGTGAGATTTCTATCAGTTTAGTGACTGTAAAAGGTGTTGAATCAGATCCCTGGTGATCCTCTCATGTTTTGTTTTTTTGTTGTTTTTAATTAAACTAGTATTTCTATTTTATTTTATTGTGTTTTTTTTTTTTTTTGGCTGTTTCCAGGCAGCAGAACAAGCTGTACTGGCAAACCAACACTGACATATCATCACCTTGTTGAACAAACAGTTTCCTATTTACACATAGCAGACATGGCGCAGCATTAATTTGGAGTTGTGCTACTGGCTATTTGACGAATGCAAATCCAATAATCTTTCTCCTTTTATATCTGTTTTGGTCTAAGCTGCTGAGGGAAATGCTTCTCTCTTTAGCCGCTAACGGCTGTTTTCTACTTTTGTCTGCACTTTGAGGCAGAACAGGTGAAATAAAAACAGCCGTGTGCCGTAAAATGATGGTTAAGTTATTAAAATCACACATTTTTGGGCCGTAAAACCAAATTATTGGGCTCAAAGGCTAAAATGAATGAGGCATAATTGAAAACTGACTGCTTGTTACTATAAAATACTGATTTATGCAGCCTAATTTTTTCTACTCCTACTTTTGGTTCAATTTTAAATATTATTTCCACTCTCTAGCTCCACTGAAAGTTTTTCCTTGTTCTTCTAATACATTTTGCCTCATGTAAAGCTCTTTATATTTGATTTGCTTTGCCCTCACAGCCAGTTAATTAAAGCAGTCAATGATGTGTGATATTTTATATGCTGAATAATCCAACCTGTTTATGAAATATTACATTTGTGGTTTCTGTTGCACTCATGTGTAGTGTGCGACTGTGTGTAGGAAATATATCCCATGAATATTCAGGCTGATCTCCTGTGCTGCTGCTGTGCCACATGCCTCCATTTCAGTGAGTGTGTGCCAGTAGGTGGTATGAAGTGGTGACTTGGTGAATCAGTGAAGTTTTTCTGGCTGTGTCGACTCACACCGAGCGCTGCTGGCAGACTGGGATGTTGTCTGTCTGTGAATCAGCTTCAGCTGCTCTGGATGTGAGTTTGTGTCACTTTCATGATGCATTTCTTCAGAGTGACTCAAAAAGTTCAAAGGAGACGTACATAAATTCAACAACCTTTTATTTTTTCCCCCATTTTGAATCTTTCACAATCAAAAATGAGTGTTTTTTTTTTTTTTTAAACCATTTGCATATTCACGTGAAGTATAGCAATACATAATCACTTCGGGACACGCCTTATTCAATTTTTTTTCCCTTTTTTTTTTTGTCATTTCCGGAAAGCCGTTCGGCAAACGACAAAGGTTATACAGTAACACAGAATACAAATGGTAACTGGGGCAAAGGGTAGCATGGGTAAATACACAGCACAACCAGGAAGAGCATAGAGCAAAATGACACAAGTGGATGACAGAAAATTACACATAATAATAATAATAATAGCCAAAATAATAAACCGAATACGATAGAAAATAACAATATTAATAAAATAAAAATAAAATAATGACAGCAGTATACAAGAGATAGAGAGACAACTTTACATTTATACATAGTGGCCAGAGGCAGGCACCAGGAAGTGAAACAGTTAAACTTGTACATACTGTATGATCTACTGCAGCTACTGTAGCTAAAACAATTCAGTGTGGAGGTGAGTGGGATTGTTAAGACGTTGGCGACGTGGGGACAAGGAACAACACAATAAAGAGGCACCTTATGAAGAGAGAGAGCAGCTTTGCTGGTTGAGACTCGAGAGCTGTTTCATTTATTAGACAATTTTTGCCTTGAAATGAAGTTGTATCGATTTTTGTCAAATGGCTGGCAAACAAGGCTCACCTTGTGCTTGTCAAGTTTCGCCAGCAGTGATGTGAGACTGCATAGCCTTGACTGATATGCAGATAACTGGCCTTGACTTTTATGACAGCATTGAGCGTCAAAGAGCTCAGATCGTCTGATCAAGGACGCCAATCTGAACTATAAGCCTGAAAAAATCTTTTTTTTTTTTTTTTTTTTTTTTTTTTACAAGTTGTGGCTCACACTTTTAGTAAAAGAAAATCTTTGAGGCATTTTCTAGACAAAGAGGGACTTTACAAGGTGTCTCAAAACAACAAACTGGTCACTTTAAAGTCTACGACTTCCCACTGCTATATTTTTTATTGTTTTTGCCACGTTTTTCTTCTTAAAATATATATTCCATATATGCAAATTTATATGTCACAGTAATATACAATCTAAGTGCTTCAAGAGTGAAGAGGGACTCGTGTGCAGATGGTTCAGAGGGTGGAGGGGAGGAAGAAGAGGGATGAGAGGGAGGAAGAATGTAACTCTCTGCCAAAAAAGGGAGATTGTAAAGGAAGGATGTGTGTCTTTGGTTAAAGGAATGTTCCCATAATGCCACAATAAACACTGGCCAGCCACTAAGGCAGTTTACAATAATGAATAATTGAGTCATGTCCACAAGGGGAATATCCCAAACTCCAGCTCTGGAGAGTTTCATTCTGTCGCATCCCTCGTTAATCTATTACTTTAACTGGAGGGATCGGTGGGAGGTAGGAGAGAGAAAAGGACGGGGGGTACAGGTGACACAGTGAAATTCAATGGTGAAATCACATCCTAAATACACCTCACACAGATCACTGGCTTCTTGTCTGTTCTTGCAAAGTGCCAACGTGAGTCGTGGTTGTCTGTCGGCTACAGACAACACAAAGGTGACGGGAAAAATGCTCAAGCTGTTCTTATTGGTCCTTAATCTCGCCTCTTATTGCGCCCACCCCTCCCGCTGCTGGATCCCTTTTTCCCACTGTCCTTTTTAGCCTCCGGCCTCTCGTTCACCTGAGGCTTGGCTTCCTCCACGTACTCAGTCTCATTCTCCACCTCTTTGCTCTCCTCATGTGCCTGGCCACTGGGAGGGTTGCTGGGCAGAGCTAAGTAAGGGTGCTGAGGCAAAGTTGGGGAAGGGGACATGGAGGTGCTGATCATGCCCTCTATCTGAACCCCAGCCGCCCCGCTGGACAGAGCTCTGTACTTGAGGCGGAGCTTGTGGGGCAGGGCAGTGGCTTTGACCTCAGCTTGGCACTCGCTGTGCAAACTGGCAACTCCCTCTGTCTTCTGGTGGTAGCTGCTGATGTCTGAGGAGGATGAAGAGGGGGACTCGTCATCCGTGGAGCCCTCCTTATCGGAGCTACGAGGGTCTCCATCACTCGAGGAGGTGTCTTTAGCAGAGGAGTTCTCCTGATAGAAGCCGTTGGCTCGGGGGCCTCCCTCATAGGTGAGCACAGGGGGCTCTTCATCCAGTGTGTTGAGGTAGCCGTTGTGCTGTATGAAGGAGGACTTGCTCTCCTCATTGTTGTGGATCAGATCTGGGGCAAAGGGGTTCTGGTGGCTTTCAGTGTGCTGAAGATTCCTCTCCTGACCCTGGTAGCTGCAGCGATGGTCACGCTGTTGTTGATCGTACCTTTGCTGAAGCTCCTCTGCTGACTCAGAGTGACCATTGGTGTACTCATACTGTGGCGAGTCCAGGGTCCTCGTTCTCTCCAGCTTCTCAGCGACCTCTCTGATGGTCACTGAGCAGTCGGAGAACTTGGAAGTCAGGGTGTGCTGAGGCGCTCTGCTCTGCTGGGACTGCTGCTCCTCCGGCCGCTGGCTCTCCATGGGGTAACAGCCGCTGCTGGAGCGATACAAAATGACGCTTCTCTGTGCAGAAGTGGCCTGAGGAGCAGAGCTGGAGGCCTCCATGTGGCACTGCTGCTGCTGCTGTTGGTGATGCTGGTAGTCCATGGCACTTTCAGCCAATGGGGCGCTTTGCTGGTGAGGAGAAACCAGAGCAGTGTGGTTGCCATGGTAAGCTCCACTTGGCATTCCATTGGGCATCCCATTAGTGATGCCACTGGGAATCCTGCTGCTTTCCAGTCCAGCCATCTCCATGCTTGAGGGCTCCTTCTTTATGCTGTAGCCCATTGGTTCAGGGCTGTCTCTGGAGGAGCCGTCAGACATGTCAGACACTGACCCCCGTGGAGAATACTTGTGGAGCGCCGAGTGACGCTCGCCACGGCTCGACTGTTCAGTTTCAGATGAGTCAGAATTCAGCATCACCTGGGATGCGCTGGAGTAGCCACTGCTTGAGAGGTAGGCGTTACTGTTTGGGGTGCCGTTGGTGCTGCTCCCGTTGCTACCAGTGTTGCTCTCAGCAGCACTGTTGGAGATCTGCTGACTTTTCTCCATGTAGGAGGCTGTGCTGATGAGGCCAAAGCGCAGCTTGAGCTGAAGGAGCTCCGTCTTGAGACGAACGTTCTCCTCATTCAGCGCCATGACCCGGTTCTCTAACACCATGTCATTGAGGCGCCGCTTTTCCCTCGAGCGCTTGGCTGCTTCGTTGTTCTTCCTCCGTTTTTCCCAATAGGAAGCATCTTTCTTCTCATCAGAAATGAATTCTCGCTTGCGACGGGACGTCACCGTAGGTTTGCTGCCTTTACCCTGGCGGCTGGTCCGTCCTCCACTTTCAGGGTCGGGGGAGTGGAGGTCTTCACTGTAGGGGGAAAACGCATCGACCTCCATGGCATTTTTGTTGCTGGTGGATGGGATGTGTAGGCTGAGACTTTCCATTTTTCTCCAGCTGGGGGCCAGAGTGTGACTCTAGCAAAGGGCAAAGGGGGAAGGGAAAAGATGTAGAACTATATGAGCCTTCTGATCTGTTCCTAAGATGTTTGAATTATGTCGCAGGATCAGCAAAAACTTCTGGATGAGGTATTTGTGCTCCTCGAAGCGATAGCCTCATTGATTTCTGTTACTTAGAGTTCAAGAGTAAAACGTTCAAGTGTCCAAATTAGCCAAGAAGATTAAAAAGAGGTGGAACTCCACGAAAACCTCAGACATTGAAGTAGTGTTCTGAACGAGGAACTTAAAAAAAAGAAGCAAGTTTTTGTTTTGTGCGAAGGGTCTTCCAACTGTCTAGTAGGAGCAGTCTTTGGAGTCTCGCCGGAGGTGACTTTGAGTTTATCACTGTCTTCCTCAATCTTCAGCAGAGCTGTGATGCCTGTCAGGCTGCTGCCCTGTTTCTCTCAGTGTCTTAAACGGGATGTAGGTCAACCTGTCTACTTCGGGGCTCCTTGAGGATCCAGCTTCAGTGCCGCTGTTTGTTGACCACTAAGTGGGTTACTGAGACAGTCAAAGAGAAGGAGGGAGGGGGACAGAAGCAGAGGGAGAGTTAGATTAGCTGTAAAATCACTGCAGATCATTGTGGCATACATTTACATTTGAGTCAGATCAAATTAGATTTATGAGCTGCAAGGCAAACCTTCGCTGTGGTGTAACATCTACAGTGTGACATCAATGCAGAGTCTGTACCAAAAATCTATGACGTAACCCCAAGTGTTTGTCTTTCTTGTCTGTGTTTCCAGATAGAAAATAAGGCTGGATGCAGAGTCTGAGCAGCACAAACAAGTAGACAGGGTTGTGGCCGGGACTAAACATGTGTACGTGCTGCTGCTGCTGCTGCTGCTGCAGAGCTCTTGTGTAAGACAGAGCTCTGTCAGATAGCGATGACTGAGGCAGGCTGACCTGATGCCAGCTCTGCAGAGACTGACACATTCGGAGATGAGGAGAGGACGGAGAGGATATATCTGGTGTATCATCAATTTACCTCCACGTTGCAGTAGTTTATAGCAATGTGTATGATGAAACAAATAATTGAATTTCTCTATGACATGGTCACTTCTCCTTTAGGTTTTTATTCCATCTCTTATCTTGAATGCAAAGTGAAACATCTTCAAGAACGTAAAAGAGAAGTCCAGTTTCTTTTCCCCAAAGCGCCACAAATTAGAATTTCTGCTTTTAAATGTGCCTGTGTTGGGGCAGCTCCGTCACAGCCCAGCGGCATCTCAGTCTCTCCACTAGCCATTGCACTGTCTGAAATTACACAACACCACAAGCGGCTGAATTTCCTTGTGCGGTGTCAACATCGCAGCCCAACAGGAAGCCTTGCCCTCAGAACACGTCTTGCATCACAAAGTCAAAAACAATGCCAAACGCAGTGTAGACGATTGTTGACGGCAGTCCGGCATTATGTAATGACTAGATCTTCTCTTGTTTTAGCTCTGATTCATTTTTGCTGCACTCTCGCTGCGCAGCATTACACAGATGATATGCATTAATTAACAACACACCATTACACAGAGCCCTGGAGTTCTTTGCAAACATGAAAACATCTTTTTTTTTTTTTTTATGACACACAGAGCCAGTGAAATAATCTAGGCCACTGTGCCTCTGGGTAACAATGACTCTGGTGTTGCTTTTCATTCGCGGCGCTGGAATTACACGGAGCACAAATATGACCTTTTAGCATTAGAAAAGCTTTCATTAGTCCCGTCACTCTGAAAATGTTATGGTATTTTTCGGGGCATGCAATTTCAAACATTGGAAACCAGATTCTGTGAAGCATAATTACCGCTTAATGGACACTAAATTGTTTGAGTAAATAACATACATTCATTGTTTTATGAGTTTCTGTTAAGCAGCAATAATTTTAATGTTCTCTGCAACTTTATGGCTCCATGTTTCATTCAAAACTGCTGCAAGAGTCGTCTTTTTACATGGTATAATACACATCTGTTAGTGCAGTTAGTCCTATCTGTGGTCTGCTATTAATAAAAAATAACTGCAAGCTCTGTTTTCAAAAATTCTTGCAAAGGTAAAGCCTTGAAAATGACACCAGATGCATTGCAAGCACAGAGGAACAAAAGGAACAGATCAGACCGTTCTTGTTGTTCAAACAGCGAAAAAGTCTCTCAGAGAGTAGAACAAAAGTTTGCCAGTTCAGCTACACCAGACTCGCATCGACCTCCGCTGGAGGGTTTTGTTCCAATAACACGAACCACTTGCCTTGTACCAACTAGTCAATGCCACAAAACAATTTAATCTAGTGAATGTCTTCGACAGACCGCATTTCTCTGCTTCCCTCCAGAGTCAGTGACCCTGTTACATAATCACACATTGAAAACTGTGACCTTGAAACAGCTTGAAAACTGCTCTAATTAATTAACCATTTATTTCATGACGCTGTGTTATGTTGTAACTCTGGGGCGAGGCTTAGATATTCTGCAGGCTAATTCAGTTTTTTTTTTTAACCATCTCTTGCCTTGTTTGCGTCTTCTCCTTTAAGAACTCATGTAAAGCTGCAGCTTACAGAAAAGGATTTAAACACAAACCACCAACAGATGTGGAAAAATGTAAGGGTAACCCCCCCCCCCAATCTTTTCTCTCTCCCTCCAACCCTGAATAATTTTCATAAAGACGTGCAGAGAGTGGGGCGCAAAACAAAAGGCGGGGAGAAAAGGAAGCACACATACGTCTGTGCTGTCCCACTGACCTAGAAACGACGCTAAGCAGTAAACACTCCTCCTGTCTTTGACGGTGCGCCATAAAATAGGTCAGTGGGACTGCAAGGGAGGGAGGGCAGGAGAGGGAAAGAGAGTATTAGAGTGCACTCTAAAAATAGAGCGACAGAAAGAGGGCGAGGGAGGGAGGAAGCAAGCGGCAGCAAGGGACTTGGGGGGGGGGTAACAGGAGGAATTCAGTTGGTCGACATGAGAGGAATTTTACAGAATCTGCAGCGGGAAGGACTACAAGAGAGTCATACTTGAATAACGTCATCTGCCTAAAAATCAGATTATGAAAGCCCCGGCGATTTTCATGCAACATTAAGTCCTGTCCGCTCTAGAAACCCCGTGACGCCTGAATGCGGCGCATAACAATTTGAATCAGTGGCAAATGAAAAATGATAGTGAGAGATCTGGATGTGGCATTGACGTCAGAGCACACACCCTTCTCTGCAGCCAAATTCACATATAACCGGCTCTGAACTGCATGGGGAGGGGCTGCTGTTGTTGCTCGTAGTGTACGTGCTCTGAATCTCTCTTGTTGCGGAGCAGAGCTTGTGTAACACATGAATATCACATAGCAGCACAAGCTACAGGTTACTGGCTGTTAATGCCCTGCAGTCCTCCTTTTTCACTGTCCTTTCTGCGCATGTTGTGCTCTGACATAAAAAGCCAAGACTAATGCTAGAAAGTAAAGAGATACTGGTACACTGTGTAATTGGCTCTTTGTGCACAGGCTAATTCCCCCATTAAAAGGAATGATTCACTGCAGCTCCTCTGAGCAGCTTGTTTTTCTGTGTTTTCTATTTTCTTAGCTGAGAAAAGCACACAATTCTGCAGCAGTTCACAGGCACTTGCCGCTCAGGGAGGAATGTTTCACCTTTGACCTCCTCTGAGGCAAGTGTGAGTAAAACGCATGGTATCCTCTTCCCCTCCTCCATCTTTTAAATGATCCAACACCACACACGTGGAGGGGCCCTGGCTAGGAGCCTCCATTTTGCCCTCCGGCTTTGTGTCAAACAAAACTAGGAGACAGAAATCCAGACATTCCAGGTCAGATACCGAGACCTGAATGCTATTGTTCTATTTAACTCAAAGCAACACGCAGCTATAAAGCATGTTTACCTGGAAAGTTAAGATTACAAATCTGGTGAAGAGGGAGTGAAATTTATGCACTTTTCATCAAAGTAAAAAGTTTCAGCTACTTACAGTGAGTAGATTTGTAAAATAAAAGTCATCAGGAGCCAAAAAACTAAAGTGCTGATTAACAGATGCTAAGAAAAGGAAAAACTTGGAGAAACACTTTAAGTTTGTTCAGTCTTTGGGGAATCTGTGGTCTTGTGTTCCTCAGAGCAACACATGGTGTGGTTAAAGTAGTCCACGATGTGCCCTGTATACCTCATCAGCCTCTTCACCCAGATACAGGTTTGACCTATATTCAGAGAGCTGGCTGGGACGGAGCAACGCAGGCGACTCTGAAACCAGACCAGCTGGCAGCAAAGGCGGACTCACCAGAACTGCCTTCGCCAGACAGGGGTTTCCGTGCATTGCATCACATCCTGGATTTTCACTTGTTATTCTAATTTTACAACAAAGTCACGCCAAGACTTTGCTGGGAGCTTGATGAGACAAACCAGACAACAACAACAAAAAAACCCAACACAAACGGGGATGTTATATCTGGTTTAGCCTGCTTTATTTCTGCTCCATGTTCTCTTTTGTGGAGTTAAAAATAACTCGCAGACACTGAGCAGCTGTGTTACATCACTGAAGAAAGCATCTCAGATTTTCACTAAATATCTGATTTAGAGATTAGAATTTGTATGAAGAGTGCAGGGTGTGAACGGGAATCAATTACAGACCTCCGTGTCCCAGGAGGGAGCTGCTGTTTATTGCTTCTCCCTGCTGTGTGCCGGTTATGTCATCCCCTCCAACTCCCTCAAAGCAACGCTCTGTGCTTTACTTAACTCACCTTTACAGTAAAGAAGAATCACAGTGACTCAGTTTTAAGCAGACATTTTGGTCTCTAGTGAACCTGAGCACTTATTGTCTAATAGTAAGACGATTAAACCATGAAAAGATGAGTTTATTTCCCAGCAAATTGCTCTTTTGCACAATATTAATCCTAATATTTGCACAAAATAGAACATGCACTCTGACTTTCCCCACATATATTCCACTATAATTAAACTGAGATTTACCCCAGCTCATGTTTGCATCTTTTTTGCAGCCAAAGAAATTCACATCTCAGCATGTAAAGTGATCCAGTGACCTACATAAAGAAAAGCACACAAGATCTGCAGCATGCCACGTGCAGCAGCTCCTATAGTATTGTGTATCTATGTGTCTGCATTAAACCAGACAACACAACCTGAGCGCAGCAGCTGCACCCCCACAATCCCTGGAAAACACCACCATGAGGGGGGAAATTACCTCGCCTTGACATTGAGCGCATAACGTGTGCGTAAAGACACGTTTTTCCCAAGTCGGAATGGGTTCAATGTGAGTCAAAGAGCCGGGAAGATAACGTTAAAGCCCGGGTATTAAGTGAAACATATAAGAAAAACAAATTGAAAAAAATAAAGAGCCGCAAACGTCTCAAAGTCACGGACGGACGCAGGAAGGGGGGAATCTGCCGGCGGATCGGAGAGTCGCCATGTGAACAATAACCGGCCATGAGCATCATGTCCTCGACTCCAAACACGCATAAAGCACAAAGCTGGTATTTATCATTTACAGATTAGATTTAGAGAACAGAAGCACATACAAATAACAAAACACACACACATACACACACACACAAAAAAATAACCGCAAAAACAGAACATACCTTTTCCGCGTCCTGGAGGAGGAGGAGGAAAAACGACTCAGGCTTCCCCGACACAAAAGCTGTCTCGCTCCCGTTTCCTCCTTCTCTCGTCTCCGTCTTCTTATTTATTTTTTTATTTTTTGAAACACAAACCTTCCCTCCCTTAAAAAAATGAACTCTGTTCTCCCTTTTTTCCTTCTCTCTCCGTCAGTCAGTGGGTCGTTCTGGATGCTGTTTCGGTCTCTTGGCTCGAGCTGGCTGCGTGTTGTGCGCTGCCGGACACTTTGCTCCAGTTTCTCCGGCTCCCTTTCTGGAAATATGTGTTAGTAGGTCAGCGGTTGCATAACAGCTCTTAGGGCTGCCTAGTCACGTTTTTGTCCGCTGTGTCTCCGCGCGAGAGTCTCTCTCTCTCTCTCTCTCGCTCTCTCTCTGGGTGTCATTAACCTTTTAGTTTTTTTTTTCCATCTCCAGCCTCCATGTAACAGCGTCTCCTTTACGGGAGTGGTTCAAGTTTATAACCAGGGCATGAGTGTTGCGCACCATGTTATGAAGAGGTCCCAATAACAGCATGACCTGTTACACAGTCCCTCGCTTGTGTTTATTAGTCTGCGTATGTTCTCCTGGTGGTGCTCTTGAAGTTAATGGAGCAAAGATAAGAATTCATTCTCACATTTCCTCACAGGGACATTTAGTGAGGCCCCTGGATGCCAGTTTGGGCTCCTACATGGCCTTTTGTGCACTGAATGGCGGATGTTACATGGATGTGATCCATGTTTTACACTGTTAAAAGTGTTTTGGAGCTGTACATTTTCATTTACATTTACATTTTCTTACTACATTTTGTTTCAAAAAAAGGCCTAAAATAGGATTTCCTACTTCTTAAGCATCTTTGTCTGCTGCAACTCAATCACTGTTTTCTTCTTGAAGAATTAAAGGAAAAGGCAAACAAAAGAAAAGAAAAGAGGAGAAAGTCTTATGAAAAATAATACTTGTGTTTGAAAACCTGAACCTTAAAGTTGACTTTACCTAAAATTAAGTTGCAGCATTGATAAGTTGAAAGGAATCAAATGATTTAAGTACATCTAACTTAAATTAGTGGCATTAATGTTTCTTGCTAACCCAATTTGGATAAACTTAATTAAATTGTGTGCCACGGATTGAAGCAGTTCTTTTGAGTTGGACCTTTTTTCAGTGTCCACCTGAATGCAAATTTATCATTTGCTGCATTCAAAGTCCCACAGTTGATCAATAAAAACAAGAATTTGACTATAATGTACTCCTTATATGAAGTTTTCCAAGAACTGGTAGAGATAAAATCATCTGTAGGGATTGAAGGTAATACCAATCCAAAAATGTATGAAGTTGCATCAAATATAAGTTCTGCAAATACCTACAAATAGGATGTAATGGATGAAGTGTAACTTTATCAACAGCAGTTAAGGAACGTTCTTCCGTCCACAGTGAGGTCAGAGGTCAACATCTCACTCAGTAAAGCCACACAAGGTTTAAAGCTGAAAGCAGAAGTGCTTTCAAAAAGTATTTTTACTCTTGTCTTGTGCCATTTTTTGGTGCTTAGATTACTTGAGTAATTCCATTTTGCCCTACATTGTGCCTCACAGCATTTCAAAGAGAGATATTCGAGCTTTTACTTCCCCATTTATTTACTCGCTGGATTTGGAATTTCGGAGTTTCGCAACTGCAATTTGAGGCTTAACTTGCTTCCAACAGCCCAAAGGATTGTGTTTCCATTTATTTCACTATGTGTGTTGTTACTCTATTATGTGCAAAAAAAACTTTTTTGTGTGAAAGTGCGAGCAACATGTCTGGTCTTGCTCTGTATTATTTTATGATGCGTCTGTTTTGCGGCAGTCATTATCGAACTGGAATTCAGTGAGTTTGATTCCTGTTAACAATCTGCATCATCTGAAAACACATAAAACATAAATACATCCTTGTTTTATGTACATCAAAATCTATTGATATTTGTGAGACTGCAACTGCATTTTTGCATAAAAAAATTCAGTGTAAATTAGTTTTTCAAGCTACACTGTTAAAAGAGACTGCTTCTAACAGTTTTCAATCCTAACTTTTTTAAAAACAAGTTGTTTTACAGTTTTTACCTTTTAAGTTAAATTACAGATAACAACTGGTAAAATCCCTGAAAAAAGTATTAATTTACATATCAACCCTAAAATAATAATAATAAAAAACAGGCCAAACTTAAAAAATAATGTCCCCATCACAAATATGTTTTCCACCTCAAATAGTACTTTGTTCTTTTACAACATTTGACTGTAAAATTACACTTTTTAATTTTTTTTTCTACATTTTTTATTACTGTATTTAAAATAACAAATTATTTTGCAGATATTTGATTGTATTGTATTGATATGTTCACGGTTTTTACAGTTGTTGAATGTTGCAGTTTTTAGCAGTTCTTAAACATGTTTTTAACGGCACACTTGCTGCCAGATTTTTACAGTTGTTTTGTTTTTGTTTGCTTTTTTTTTTTTTTTTTTTACATTGCGTGCTTCACCCCTCATGCTTGGCAAACACTGTGTCTTATTAAAACACAATCTGCAGAAGGACAAGATTTAGATTCTTGGAGAGACATGTAGGCACATGTGGCTAAACAGTTTATTTTGTACCAACCTACTTATTAGAATGCATGTTAAATGTGAGTTGTATTATGGGGAAATATATTTGCTTTTGCCAGCTCTCACATATATGAAGGAGAAATGAGTGTGATTCTCAAAAATTTGGGGGGGATTTGCTATTTTTTGGAGTTTTTTTTTAATGTTTTGCTGCTTATTACAAATTTCACACATCTCCTGTACTCGTGTGTGCTAATGATTCCTAAAAACGGACTCAGACGTAGTAACACAGGATTAAATTATTACAGAAGTGCACCATTGCTTTATTCCACATTTTTGTTTATCTGTGCAGGAAATTGAATCTGCTTACAGGAGCTTTTCTATTATCCCACAAAGCCCGTTGTTCTCATCACCACCATATTTCATGTGCACTTACGTCAGCCCTGCTTCGTATCAGACACACATCCAACCCACTTTCACACTCGCATCCCTTCCCCCTGCTTTGTCTGAAGCCACACACACATGCGGCAATTCACCAAACACACACGCACACACACATCCTCCACCATCATCACCACCATCACCATGCTGAGGAAACGAGCGGCCTTGAACTTGTCTGGCTCCACCCCCCACCAGTCCTCTGCTAGAACCACCAACCCCCAACCACACTCCGCCATTTCTCCAGCTGCCTCCGCATGCAGGCATTCCCTTGGCAACTGTGGTGTGGTGGTGCCTGCCTAGCAACCAAAAGGCTCCTTCTAACATGGCTTATGGCACGGGCGGGGGGGCGGGTGGTTACAGACTGGGCTGGATGGAGACTGATCATAGACAAAAGATGTCATGTGCACGTTGCTGCGGTGAGCAGAGAGAAACTAAAGCATTGATTTCTGCAGCAGTGCAGATCTGCTGATGCCTGTTTGACCTCTTGCTTTAGCAGGAAAATGTCTTTGTTGAGGTCACGGAGATTGAACTTCCAAGCTCCCATCTCATGTTTGCTCTGCCCTTTGAGCATAAAATTGGTAATTAACACTCTGCTTACAACACAAAACCAGCCTTTTGCTTGTTCTGCATGTGCAGCATGTGGTACTGTAGTAAACACAACAGAGGAGACGACCTCTATAGTAACACTGCTGTGAATGAATGAATGAGTCAGTGATCCATGCAGAAAAAAAAAAACACTTGGCGCCACCTGGTGTTAACAAAAAAACACTGAAGATGGAAACGTTTAGGAATGCATTAACACATAATAATGGCATTAAATCAGATTCACAGATATTATTTCACAGTATTCTCTGCTGCTTTCTGGCTTCTCGCTATTGTCAGAGTCCATTTTACAACCCTATCTGGTGTCTGTGAGCGCATTTGTATTGTCTCCAGGTGTTAATGTATTCTGAACCTGTATCCTTCACTTCCATATGGGCCAATCAGTCTCCGCTGCAGCTGCTTCAAGGCTAAAAATAGCTTTTCCATTGCTGACGTGATAGATGACTCATGCAGAGTCTCACTTCTCTCCCTGCATTCACCCCTCTCTCCCTGGCACTGTCCTGCGCCCCACCGGCCCCTCTAATTGAGTAACCTCAGCTCGCTGCAAGTGGACTGTTTCTGGTGGCTCCTATTACTGTGTTACAGCATCTATTAAAGGTGCAAAGGCCAAAGATGAAATTCAAATGATATCAGTTCATGTGAAATAGAAACTTGTGACATTGACACTCTTGCGCAGTGCACCTCCAGCCCTCCAGCGTCTTCACCTGCTCTCTGCACAGCGATGTCGTGCAAAATACAGTTTTAAAGGGCCTACAACGGTCTTGAATGTTGCGTCTTCAGGAGCTGCAAATATGTGGCCTTGAGAACAAACACAAAAACAAGGAAATAGTTTTATTACTGACCCAATTTACTTCATGGATTTGCTTACTTAATGCACCCAGACATATTAAAATCATACTACACTCTAGAAAGTATTTTAGGATTCCTTTCCCACCACTTAATTACATGCATGATTGCAGGAAAATAAATCCTATTTATGGATTTGGACACATTTTAAGTTTTAAACAATATTTAAATGAGTTGTATTGATGTAATCATGTTGGTGATTGCATCAACTTAATATTGTGTCTAATTTAAACTCAAATTTCCACCTTTATTGATTTAAAACTAAATTGAAGTTGTAGTAACTAAATGAAAGTTGCTTGATATCCAAATTTTAAAGAAGTTTATGTCCATTTCCCCTGCCTGTTAAACACACCTGGACAAAATCAGACAGTTAAGCTTGTATGCTAGTTGTCCTGTTCTTTCACAAGTAAAACTTGAAAAAACTATTTGGAGCAACTTAATTTTTAATAACTTACAACGTCTACTTCTGGTACCAGCTATTAAGTGAGTGCCAATTAAAATCACCTTTGATTATAGAGGAAAGACTCATTTTCTTAACTTAATATAGTTTACTAGTTGAACATAATTTCATTAGAAGTTGTCATAACGCAAACAGATTGATGAAAGCTGTTGCTTTATTTTCTTTTGTTGAGCCTAAACATTTGTGTTAAGATTGCTGAATCATCTTTTGAAGGTACAATATACTAAAAAAAATCCCAATTTGTTAACAAAGGAGGTAGGAAAAGATGTATGACTCTCACAGCTGATCTGAGAGATGCTCTTTAATCAGACTGCTAGAAAAATGAAAAAACAAGATTCTGGAAGTCTTGCTTAAACAACACTGTACAAAAATTCTAATTTCACAGAAAATAACCTCCTCTTCAAGAGGTTTTCTGTTAAATGGTATAGGGAAATCTGTGAAATTACAGACATTATCTGTAAATCCCCAACTCAATAACCGCGCTAAATGACATTTATTTCTCTCTCTTGCTTTTCCTTTCTTTCTATTTTTTCTCCTTTTTTTCCTCATGAAAATAAGATGTAATTTTATTGATTTAAGACTCCAGACTCAACTGATATCGGCTGCACACTTTGCCTCGTGACCTACAAATGTAAACATATTGGATTGTTTATACAGTATTTGCTAAATTGCATACAAATCTATACAAATTGAGAAATAAGCTTGTAAATATGTAGCTCTACATATAAAGGTCATCTATCAATTTGATGTTTTTCTCATAATTTTAAGGTAAATTGTATTTACGTATATACCATATATATAACATTACACATTAAGTATAAAAATTCAGGAAAAAATTGGAAAATAATGGTGTTTTTCCACAAAATGTGCATGTCTGTGCATTTATTGTTTGCCAATCTTTTGACAGTTTTTTTTTAACAGTGTCTATAGTGCAGACAACCATGTATTCAGGTGAAATTCTGATAATTTATTCTTCAAGCTTATGCAGACAGAGTGAGTCATATTGACTCTCAATCTTCATGAGAAACATAATCGGTGTGAATTATAAACCAGCCGTAGGTGGCATTTTATTCATGTATGTTACCATATGTGTATTATGCACCAGGACACATATGTTGAGTAAAATCCCACCTACGGCTGTTATGTATGTCACACTGATTATGCGTTCATCAGTCTCTATTTAATTTCAATTTTAATTTAATTACCACTATTATATCACCTGAAGATGGATTGCTTCGGTGCTTTCCATGGCTGTCTGCGCAAATTAATATTAAGCAAGGCTTCCTGGATTATATTTTTAATTCCAATTTTTTCATCATAAAAGGTTTTTCCAAGTTATTTACATAAAATATAATCTTGTTTTCAAATCCAGCAGTGAACAGTGAAGATGACTGTGGACGCTATGTAAATTGCTGTCATAAGATAAAGCAAGATGCAGACACAGTGCACTCCAAGAAGTCATTTTAATCACATTTATCACACATTTAGCACAAGTTAATGTTATGCAACAAACAAATGTAAGCTGTTTCCGAGGACAGACGTGAGGACAGGTGTTAATGTTCACTTTTGTGCTACAGATAAATCACACTTTGCTTTTTACCATCTAACATCCCTATTCAGTGCTCATTCAAGACTTGCACAGTATCTTTCAAATACAGTGAAACAAGCTCGATCCCAGGACATGACCCAGACAGAAAACACTTTTAGGTTATTAAATGTGTTGTTCATCATAAGAGAAAACAGAGAAACAAGCGCTGTTAATAAAGTTTGTCCTGTCAGAGGTAGCTGCTCACACCGGTGCTTTGTTGAGATGAGCGGGTTATGAGGTTGACAGATGTCAGTCTGGATTTGTTCCTCCTCTATTCACGTTTTTTTAAGCGATCTTAGAGAGCAGCTGCTGAGAGACGAGCCTCTTGAGCTGAGCCACTTCCTGAGACAAACAGCCGATCTGCGACCTGAGACTGATGTCCTCTGTTGAACACTTGTTGTACTTCGAGTTCTGCTGAAAGAAGTGATTATAATATCCAGAGGATGAACCCTGATACTGCTGCCCACCGCAGGCCTCCTCCCTGGACCAAGGACTCTCCGTCCGAGCATCCCATCTGGGCTGCTGCTGGTTTCTGATCTGGATGTTTGGTCCCACGGTGGCGACGGGGAGGCCGTTGTGTCTGCTGTCAGAAGACGGAGACATCTCCCCTCCATCGTTGCTGCCTCCGGGGCCTTTGAAACGGAGCTTATGTGGGAGGCTCCTCAAACCCTCTTCTTGTCTGTTGGCATACTGACTCTCACTGACTTCCATTGGACAGATGTGCTGCTCATCCACCAGCTCCCTCTGAGGAACCAGTGTGTCATCAAAAAACACAGGGCTGCCCACATTGGAGCTACAGGAGGTAGAGAGGCTGCTCTCCTCTGATGCACTGTGACTGGAGGGAGGCTCGGACGCCCTCGACCCATAGACGGCCCCCTGAGGTTGGGGGTGGTTCTGGTGGGTGCTGGTGTTGAGGTATGAGGGGGCATCAGTGTGGTAGCAAGGTGCTGGCTGGGCACAGATGGGTGCAGACAGTGGCAGGATGGACACCTCAGATGCATCCTTGACCAGACCAAAGCGGAGTTTGATGGCCAGCAGCTCGGCCTTGAGGCGAGCATTCTCCTCCAGCAGACCTAGAACCCTCCTCTCCAGAACCATGTCATTCGCCCGCCGCTTCTCTCTGGACCTTTTGGCCGCCTCGTTGTTCTTCCTCCTCTTGTCCCAGTAGCCTTCATCCTTCTTCTCATTGGGGGTGAACTCCCGTTTGCGCCGTGCACCACCTCCGCTGTCTTCATCACAGCTGCTGCCAGTCATGGCTTCAGCGTTGGCGGGACTTTCGTGGCGTTTGAGTGCGAAGGTGTGACCCAGGAGGGTTCGGGCCAGCTGGCTCGTGGAGCTCAGGATGGAGACGGCCTCATTGGTGAAGGAACCGGCCACTCCGGGAGGTGCTGGCTGGTCCTGGGTGATGGGTCCCACAGTCTGATCCGACATGATCAAACTGTCTCAGTGAAGGCTGGAGGCTCTGGCTGACCTGCACTGTAATGGCTCCACTTAGTGGTGAAAAAACACAAATGCATGTGGTGAGCTGAGGATTTCTTACCAAGGTTGTAAATATTAAATTCTTTAACAAAAGTTTTAAAAATACAAGAAAAATCCTAATAATTTGAATTTGAAAAACAGCCAAATGAAGTGGACAATGCTGACTTTTAATGCCAACTGTCCAATTTGATGCTAAAGCTACTATTTTAATCACAATAAACCAGAAAACCTTGATTTACAGCATGAAAATAAGCTTATACTGAATATATTAGAGTAGATCAGATAGATTAGTGGCGGAAAATAAATGTAAAAAAAACCCAAAAAGCTAAATGAAATGTTAATTTATGTTAATTCAATCCAAATTGCATATGATCAGCCTGTTTGTACAACTTTAAAGCACGTGTCATATTTAAATCTCATCTCATTTTAAATTCTAGACAATGATAATAATAGTAATAACTTTCAAAACGATACATTAAGTCCTGATATTTAAACCAACAGGTGAGATTAGTGGCTTTAAAACAAAAAAAAAGAAGAAAGAAGTCGTTTTACTCACAGATCGAGCAGCTGCTGAGAGCTTCGACGAGCAGGACGCACATGAAGCTTCATGAAACCATCTGGATGTTTCAACTCCTCCAGACTCTTCATCACCCTCCGAGTCGGTCCTTCCCACCGCTCCCGGTTCAGCCGGGGTCGGAACCTCACCCCGGGTAACCCCCTCCTCCTCCTCCTCCTCCTCCTCCTGACGGGAAGCCGGTGGAGTCAAAACACAACCAACAGCAACGAGGCGCGCTGCCGCGAAAACACAAAGCAGATCACGTTGTTTTAAAAAAAAAAAAAAAAGAGGCTCCTGTTTTAACATATCCATGACAGTAATAGTAATAATAATAATAATAATGATAATAATAAACCCTGTGTGCCCTGCAGTAGTGACCACAGCAGTTTCTTTTATCTGTCATGTGAGACTGAGATTAGGAGATATTGGGATTTACTGCTGAGGTGACAACAACATGCACTGTAGTTGGTGAACAAACCTACAATAAAGACATTATTGCCTTATCTGTCCTCAGCAACTTCATCACAAGCCCATTGCACAACAGAGGCGAATATTACTAAATATGACTTTATTTCTATTGCACTTTAAAAAAGACAAGCAAGTAAAAAAAAAAATAAAATAAAGGGGGGGACAGAAGAAAAAACAGGACACAGCAAAATAAACTAAATGCAAAGTATTCAGTTTCAGTATACATAAGTTAATAAAAACACTAACAAATACAAATAAAGTAATAAAAATACCAAAATGCCAACGTATAGAGTAAAAGACAGTAAAAGAGATGCCGTTACAAACTTTTTTTTAAAAGAAGTGGTTTTAAATGATTATTGTTGTTCCAAGTCCCAGGGTTCCTAATAGTATGGTCCCATTTAGACTGAAACCTCAACTTTGGAAAGTCACAAGGGCCCCACCTAAAGATCTGAGGGCTGCAACCTGGCTCGTATGGGGTCAACATTTCTGTAATTTAGGTTAGGGTTGCACCCTGACAAGCTGTATATATGTGATCAGTAAAACTTTAAAATCAATTCTAAAATGACCAGGTAGCCAGTGAAACAATTAGTGCATAATATTTTTCCAGATGTAATGCAGAGATGTTCTACCATTCTCATGGTGATAATCAACTACTTTTGCTCTTCACTGTGGTTGTGACGCCATCTGAGCCGAACAAATGTATTTTGTTCTCACCTGATCTCAGCATTTTTCAGGCTTCTTTTCATGTCCTTTAGCAAAGTTTAATTTTGTGATTTTGAGCTGAAGCACATGGAAGAGATTTTTCTTGGACGCTGTATGTAGAGGTTGATGTTATGCAGTGTCCTTCAAACTGTCTCGTCAGTCACAGAAACTCTGATTTCCAACCCCTGTGTCAGGTATGATGCAGCTGCCAGTCTGGTTTTCGGAGTTTGATTATGCAAGTAGCACACTGTCTGTGGTGTCATGAGGACAGCCACTGCAGCTCTGATTAATGCGGCAACTGATTTTTAGTTGGTTACTGATCTTCATGAATGTCTGTTCAAAATTTCATGACTTTTCATATAGCAGTACATGCTGCTAGCATGACTAAACATACACATATATATATATTCCCCTGGCTAACCGTAGAAGACGTGTCAACAACAAGTATTTACTTTCACAGTTGTACCTTAAAGTGTTTGTTTATTCTGCATGGCCAGTAGCTGAACAAGTTTAATATGTTAAACCATTTCTTCACTCATGCAGTAACAAAATGGAGAAATTCCCTGAAATCAGCTTTATTTAAAAATAAAAATAAAAAAAATAAAAAAATGAGAAGTAAATTGTATAAAATGTTTGATTTAACTGAGTAGTTTTGATTGGTACTGTGACCCTCAAAAATATTGAAAGAATTTATTTTGAATTTATTGATTGTTGCATCACTCGATGTCCATTTAACACTGTACCCACTAACTGTTTTGTGTCCTCTTTTTTGTTTATACATCAGTGTGTTAGATTAGGTCCCTCAGGTTACAACAGCATGTGTGGACAATGTTCATGGAGGCTTTAGTTGTCCTCATTTGCTCTTTGCAGGTGATTGCCCATAACATGCAGGTCAAGGTGCATAGTTTATGGAATTAACATTGTGCATGTGCTCACTTTGTGTTTAGAAAAAATCACAGGTCTGCACAAAAAGAGCATATGATTATATTTTTATTTTCATCACAAGATTAACTCATCAGACTCAACAGTTTTTTAAGGTATCTGTACATTTTCTCTCTTTTCAGACTGTGTAAGAAGAACAGAAGCTTGTCCCTGTGTCACTGCACCCAGGAGCTAATCTGTAAGTTATATGACCACATAAATGATCAATGTAAAGACAGCCGTACGGAGGGCAAGCCTCTCCAATGCCCGAGAAAGCTGGTGTGAATGGCAAAGCAAGCTGTTACGTAATACACAGCGAGAGAGCATGTGAGGACTGTGCAGCGCTGGAAGTTCAGTTGAGGTTACACAGAAAAAAAGGAACATTGTTCCCGGAGCGATCTGCTGCTTAGTGATACTTCCTCCCTGCACATGGAAACGCTTCACACTCGGCCGCTCTGTCTCTGTGTGGCTCTCGCTGAATTCCCTTGAACAAGACAACACTTCCCATTTAATTCATGCAGGTCTTCTCTGGATCGTTTAGTAACAACAATGTCAGCCTGGGCTTGCTTCTGTGACCCTGACTGACCGGTTGGAACATGTTGGTGCATGGCTGCGACATGCTGTGATGACTCACAGAGGAGGTCAGGGTGAAACTCTGTGAAAAGAAAACTGTCCTGCTGTCCCAAGGTTCAGCTGAATGTGCTGCCAACAAATTAGGTTAAATGAAACATTATGATTCCCATTCCCTGTTCAAAGTTATCTCTTAGTTGAAATATTTCTAGAAATGCTAACAGCCTGTTGGAGCGTGAGAGTTACACAGCACAAAATACATCAACATGGTTCTTATTGTGTCTAAGACTCAGTTCTAAAAATCACATTTGATTAAACACACAGACAAAAAAAATCATCACAGGGCTTTAATTATTCTACCTATTTCCAGTTTAAATCAACATGTGACATCTTTTTATTACTTTAGCAACACTGTAAAACAAATAAACAAACAAAAAAAAACTGCCAGTACACCAAAAAATGCAGTCATTTTCCTTTCTAGTGCTTAATAAAGAATTGTAAAAATGATGAAATTATGTATAATATATAAGATCTATAGTTAGATAAATAGAAAGATATATAAAAGGATGGCTGATAATAATGTTGTGATTTGACAGATTATCAGAAACTAATGAAAACAAGTTAAGTTAACTATAATGATAACTAAAGATACTTCACATTAACAAACATCTCTGAATTTGCAGAAACAGTACAGTTTTTCTGTTAATTGTCACTAATTGTATTAAAGTTTGCAGATGTATTTACAATATTAAACTTTAACAGTTAAAGACAGATCAGACATAAATTACTTAGCATTTATTTGTGGATTGTCTTACAAGGTAGGAATGCTTATTAGACCATTTTAATTAAGTGTCTGCAGGCAAGGCTGTTTTCAGAATGTGCAATGTTCACTGTATTAGTTAACTTAGTTTGCATGCTAATATTTACTACTATTTTGCAGCTGAGATGATGGAACTGTCATTTCTTTTGCTACTAACCAAAGTATTGAACTAGTTCAGAATATGGCCTGATGGTGTCACCAACATTCCTATAAGCAATGCAGAATGGGATGTGAATATGTTTACTGAAGTTCATGACAATCAGCCTATAATAGATGCGGAGACATTTCCATCTGGACCAAAGTAGTGGGTTGAGCAACAGTGCAATTGCTACAGTCACAAACAACATTAAACAAAGGACCAGATAACTATTTAGTTCAAATCAATGTGTTTCAAGAAATGCAAACCTTGAAGTGTAATTTCAAGGTATACATTGAACTTATCCATGTTGTTTTCTCCTGACTAGATCCTTGCTTGTGTTGTATCCACTCTCAGATGTACGTCGCTTTGGATAAAAGCATCTGCAAAATGAAACTGTAGATTGTAGATTGTAATTTTGTTAGTGCAGCACTTCATCTTTTTTTGCATTTTTGTAGATGATTTATCGAAAAATTCCAGATAAAAAAAGTTGGTTAATAGATGTAAAAAGTTCCTTCTCTGGAACTTCATATTCATGTTCACACACAAGTTTTTTGCACTAGGCTGTAGTGGCCAGCAGTTCTTGGCTTTATTTTTTTGCCACTTGGTGACTTCTCTGTAGTCATCTCTGTAAAACCAGAATGATTTGCCAGGAAGGGAAAAGGGAGTATAACCATAATCCCTTCGATACAGTATATTGATCATCCGTGCTGACCCTCCACAACTCTTTTTGTGTGTCTTTGTTTTGAGTCAAAGATTGATGCTGCAACATTGAACCACATCGCTGGACATGCTTCGCCAACAACGTGTCCACGTTCCGCATTATATAACTGAAATGTTGTGCAAAATTGCAAAGCAACAATGCTTGTTCCTTCATGGAGAAGTTAAAATTCTGCTGAAAAGCAGCTGACTTCCAGTGCAGTGGATAAACATTGTGCAGAAGCATGAAAACCCACCTCTTCATAAATGCACTCGTATATTGGAGATGTGAAAAAATCAATTGAACGGTTGAATGCTTCATTTATCACTTACGGTCTAAGTGACCAGCAGCATGTAGAAACACAGACAGAGTAAACAAGAAAAATAGGCTCTACCTGTGTCCCCAATTACATCTTCTAGAAATATCAGCATTCGATGCTATTACTGAGAAAACAGGTACTTTTTCATATAGATTAAATCCAAGGGTAACAGAAGCTCAGAGCCAAACACTGTGTGTGTAATACTTCCATCTTTATGAGAACCAATTTGAATTTGACAGTAAATTTTACAGACAAGATTTATGTTTAGACTGAGGTTCGGTAGTTCAGACATGTTGTGACGGGGTTAATTTTGTCTGCAAATTACCTCTCTGCACCCCAAATCCTGCCCACTGGCTTGAAAGGCATGTTATCTTTTCTTTTTTTTAAATAACTGAAATTGCACCATTTGTCAGAAGCAGAAACTGTAAA